ATATATACATATATATACATATATATATATATAGATTATGACTATTGATGCATTCATGTGTTCATCAGTCTAATGTTGCAGCTGGTAAAGTTGGAGCTCATTTTAATGATTTATATACCGCTGGGTAGTTTAATAAAATATATAATCAACTAATAAATTGTAATATATTATTATAGACTAATCAGAATGCACAAAGTAACTTAAGTTCTTAAACAAATTCAAATATTTCTATCTGAGACAGAAGTATAAAGCAGCAAAAAATTGAAATACTCAAGTAAAGTAAAGTACCTCTCAATTGCACTTCTGCATAATACTCCATTTATACTAACTTACTTTCCACCACTGCAAATGGAATATATCGTTATACAACAGCAGGAAATGAAATTAAAAAAGCATATTTAGCAATTATTTTTAGATTATTAGTTATCGTTTCCAAAACAACTTTCAGTGTTACAGTGTGAATAGGAAGAGGCCGTAAATACAACTCCATTTAAGTGCTTTATGTGTCTTGAGCTGGCCTCTTACCTTGTGTCTGATCTCATCAGTCCTGTGATTCAACAATGTGTTTAAGTGTTGAGTTCAGTGTCTGCTGGTCTTTGGTCCCATTCTTCTTGGAAACATCCAAATGACATATTTCACAACGAACGCCACGCCAGAGCAGCAACATCTGGAGAGAAACAATGATGATGAAATGCAATATGGAGTTGATAAGAGTCAAAAAAGAGTGAATATTAAACTTACATTCATCAGGACATCATGTTGTTCTGCGTCTGCTGCCGTTTACATCACATGCACAATCAAACAAAAAGTATGATAGTAACCTCTTTAATTTCATTTAACACATGAGAAAATAAAGAGATGTCACAGACCATCATAAATACAAAAGTGTTCAAGATCACAATAGGAACACATTCAATGATGGTCATAAAAATAAAGATTACACGTACATGGATATGTGTTGAGTATCTTTGAAAGGCTGCACTGTGATTAGTTCAACTTCATATAGAAACAGGTTTATTAAAACTAAAGAGTAACAAAACACCAGAATGAAAGCTTCTAAACTTCTTTGACTTTGAATTTCGCAGTAGTGGGAAGTAACTAAGTACACAAGTACTGTACCTAAGCTACTTATACTTTACTTGAGTATTTATATTTGATGCCACTTTATTCTCCACCACATCTAAGAGGGACATTTTGTACTTTTTAGTCCACTACATTTAACTAACAGCTTGCAGATTCAGATTAATAATACAAAATATGATCAACTAATAAATGATGTATTGTTATAGATTTATTTATTATAGCAGTATACAAAGTTATTAAAATGAGATCCACATTTAGCAGCAGCAACATTAAAGTGATGAATATATGAATGCATCGATAATTATAACCCGGTAATATATGGAATACACTTTAAAGTTCAATGCTGATACTTTTGAACTTTTAAATGGGTGAAATGTGAATGCAGGACTTTGACTTGTGAAAGAATTTTGTACACTGCACAAGTTGTATTGACATGAGGAGAAACTGGGAAAAAAGATGTATTGAGGAAATGAAAAAGTGCAAAAAAAGCTTGAAGAGATTAATTTCTTCTGAATAAAATATATTATTTGATGTTTATTCGTTACAGACAACAGTCCACTTGTCCTTACAGTGTTCAAAGTCAGAATGTGTTTTTTCTTATTATTTCTTTCCTGGACAGACAAGGTCTCACATTCATAATTGATTATTGGAGTATATTTAGCTCCATTTAGCAGCTTCAGCCGGAATTTTAAGGACTTCAAATGGACATTTTACAATTCTGAATGAAGTTTCTAATTTTTAACTTATCACCAGAGATTAAAAATAGAAAAATACATTAACATCCAAATGAAAATCACAGTAAATGTAGTAAAAAATAGCAAACGTTTTTTGTTTTTTTAAATAATATTAATAGTTATTAAAATGAATAAAAATTTATTGAAGATATATTACAAAAGCTCCTTTTGGTCTCAGCTGGCTGGGGGGTGTACACACAATGAGATGTGGCAAGTAGCTTTGCTGCCCTCTCTGGTGTAATGTCTATTTAACCTGTAGCCACACCCAGCAGTGATGTCACAGCATCCTGGAGTACAGCCGTGCATCACTGCTGCAACGTGAGAAGTTAAACCACTGGAACATTTCTCTTGAGGGGGGGTGTTACATTACTCTTTCAGTTTAATTTCTTTTATTTCTGTTCAATCTGTTTCCATCACAGACACAGCTGAGGAGAATAAATGGTTTGTCTCACAGCTGAACTCTTCTGCCTCTATGGAGTTATGAGCTTTCCTTTGGTATTGCCGTGTGTGTCAGAGCACTTCCTGCGTGTCACCACTTAATGAAGACGAGTGCGGCGAGCACGGTGTAGCCGAGGATGAGGAAGAGCACTTTTAACAGGCGGTCCCGTTTGTCGTCCAGCTCTCGGGACAGAATCTCAAAGAAGGTGACGAACAGGAAGGTGCCGGCGGCGAGTCCCTGCAGCACCACGGACACCATGCTGCCCGCCAGCGTCTGAGTTGACTCGATGCCCATCCCCACCACTATCCCCAGAGGGATCATTAGGCTGACTGTGACACCCAGCTTGGCGGCGTCCTTCATGGCGAGCGACGCCTTGGCCACGCTCACCCCGAGCGCCACGGCGGCCAACGTCTCGTGCACGGCCACGCCCAGGAGGAGGCTGCCCAACTTGGCTCCGTCCTCCTGCAGGCCGAGTGCCAGGCCCTCGAACACCGAGTGAGCCGACAGAGCCAGGACCAGGCTGGCCAGCCGCAGAGGCCCCGCCCCCGCCAGCTCGGCGGGGCTGAAGTGTCCGTGGTTGTGTCCGTGGGAACGGTGACCACCGCCGCCGTCTCTCGGTGAGCCCCGCGCAGAGGCGATGAAGGGCGTCTCGTACTCCGAGTCGCTTCCAGCCTCAGAGCCGCCTGCGTTAAACGTCTCCAGGTCAATGAAAGATGGTTTCTCCTTCCTGAAAGTGAGAATGGCCTGCTCCACGAACACGGTGAGGAAGAAGCCAAGCATCATCATCGTCTCTGCCAGAGGATAGTCGCTGCTGATCTTCAGCTGCTGGAACACGTCGGCCACCTGAGGAACGTCAACACACACTCATCCAGCTGATCGATCAGACAGCATTTTATTGGTTCTGAATCAAGTTTCAAATCGAAATTCTGTTGAATCTCTTTCTGATTTCTTATCACTTATTGAATCTGTTGTGTAGTTTTGTTGCTCTTAGGATAAACTATCTCCTGTCTTCACTTTTTATCAATAATGTGTTTAGCTCACACCAACACACATAAAGAACTCAAAATTTCAAGGCAAGCAGTACAAATACATGATTAAGTATTGATCGGCCACCGATACAGTCTGAAGTCAGGGAGACCGCTGATGCTGTGGGATAATAATACTTAAATGTGAGTGTTTGTGTGTTACCTTGTCTCTGACGGTTGGCAGCAGAGCGTTGAAGCATGTTGCAAGGAACACGCCTCCTCCGAACGAGTTACACAGAGACAGAGATCTCCTGTATCTGTGCGCCTTGTCGTAGTCGGCTAGCAGGAGGCGCACCGGGACCAGTACACCTGCCAGCATGAGGCCGAACAATCCCAGCAGGCCAAGCAGCTTGGCCACCAGGATCTCCATCCTTAAGTTCAAACACTACAGCCTCATCCCAAACACCTCCACTCCACTAGTGCTGCTGGGACATCCCTGCTGGTTCTACTGGGGCAGACAAATTTTCATCAACAGAGAAATCTATTGTGTAGTGGTTGAAAGCAATGAGATACGTTTACTCCTGTATTGTTCTGTACTTAAGCACAACTTGAGGTACTTGTACTTTATTCATTGTTGTTGCTCTAGCTCGCCCACCTCAACATTATTGTCAAAATTAATTAGTACAGAATGTAATTATTAGTAAAGTCCTGAAGGTTTTTAGCTTCAAGTACAGTGGGGGAATTTAACTAAGTACATTTACTCAAGTACTGTAATTAAGGTCAAATGTGAGGTACTTTAAGTCTAGTATTTTCTTTTCATGCCACTTACTATTTCTACACCACTGTATGTCAGAGGGAAATATTGTACTTTTTATTGCACCGAATGTATCCGAGAGCTTTACTTACTCGTTTAAATTTATGATTTCTGCACACAAGACATACTATTTATATAAACCAAACGATTAATGGAGAAAATAATCAGCAGATTAATCTATAATGAAAATAATCATTAACGCTGGTTAATAGTTCAAAATGAGCTCCACTTCAGTAAAATCCTGCTTTTAACGCTACATCAGCGTTAATGCATAACAATCTAATGATATAATAATATAAAATTCATATGAGATATTGTATCTACTTATATATGCTTTAAATACAATCTCCTGTTTATACATACTTTTACTTAAGTAACGTTTTCAATTCAGGACTTTCAACTTGTAGTAGTGTATTTTCAGTGTTGTGTGAAGTAATGAGGATCAGAGCAGAGTTACTACTTCCACCACTGCACACCGGTAACGTTAGCTACACTCATTAAACTCATCCGCCTACTTAAACACTGTAAATTGTATAATAATAACAACGTAACATTACATCCATGCCAAGATAAACTCACGAACCGGTTGTTTGACTGTTTTTGACCGTGTATCTACCGGCTAGCAGGTGACAAACGACGTAGCGTTAGAGCAACCCGACATCAACTCCCCTTCCGGTGAGGAACTTCAAAGTAAAACGTCACCGTGCATCATAACTCATAACTATATTATTTTTTACACGTCTCTTATAGTTATAGCTTCACTCTTATATGATACAATAACTTAAAATGTGTTTGACTTCTTCAGTTATTCTGATACATTTTACTTGTTTTCGTTGGAGACAAACTCGAGCCATTCCGCTCGTGATCCGGCTAACAGCTGCTAGCTTGACGGAGTTGTCAATATTAAGCTAGCTATCGTTAGCCCCCCCAGGCAGCTAAATATGCTAGCTACCACCTGAAAACTACGGTTATAAAAGAAAGACGCTGTTTACGTATGCGTTGTTTTTGTCGAAGCAGCGACTCCATCTTAACATACACATTTTAAACTCCAAAACATGAGTCAACGTCACCGTGTTTACCTCTCCGACCGTCTCCTCTCCAGCAGGTGTATGGAAGTACTTCCGCATTGACGTCACGCGTCCTCTGGGCGCTGAGTGGTGGAAATATGAATGGCGCATTCTAGGAACTGATTTTACAGTGTATTCAGATCATTTACCTAAGTAATAGTACTAATACCACACTTTAGAAATAACCTGTAACAAGTAAAAGTCCTACATAAAAAATGCCCCTTAAGTAAAAGTAGTATGTATAATCTTAAACTATCAGAATAGGTGATACTTAATTGTATGTCCATCGACTAATTACATAATAGACTAATTGTTACATTTGTACCTCTATAAATTGTTGGGTTGTTCAATTCGTAAAAACATATTGTGTCTTATAAACTCTTCACGTTTTGTGTGCAAAATAATCAGAAGTGAAGTAACTAACCCTGTCCGATAAATGTAGGAGTAAAGCAGATGTCAAATACAAGCTGAGGTATTATTGGCCACCTAGCTGAAAAAAAAAATCAAACAGGAAGTTGTACAGTCAATAGAACCTGAAATAAAACTATTTTTTTGATGATCTATCCCTTTCTGTAATATGGATTAGTTCTGTTATGGAGCCTGTAATAATATGATCATGAGTCAAACATGAACTTAGACCTTTTCAATATTAATGTTATTAATGTCAGTTATTCTTTTTCTACTTCATTATAATTTTTTTATTTCTGTATTTCAACTTCAATGTTTTATGCATTTTGTTTTAAAATAATTTTACAAAATACACAAGTTTGACACTTATGACAGCATTGCCATCATCACATCTTCCATGGTGAAAGATCTGTGTCAGCATATGCATCTTAAATGAATAGTATCATTAAATAGTATTTTCATGTCAATTATCAATAAGTTTATATACATCCACAAGTTAACTTCACTCTTCACAGACAGGAGTTGCTCTGGTTAAAAAAAAAAAAAAAAAAAAACAGGTGCATAAAAAGACTCGCATACTTTGACCTTTAGAGCAATTTAGGTCATCTCTACAGCCTTAATGTTTACTTGTGACACCTCAGACATGAACCTATGTTGGAGCTTCTCGTCACTTTGTACATGTCAACATGCTCCCAGTAAAACATCCCCTTATTTATGTGAATCCTTTTTAGAGATACTGCCTCATATACAGTGGGTACGGAAGGTATTCAGACCCCTTTAAATGATTCACTCTTTGTTTCACTGCAGCCATTTGTTAAAATCAAAAAACTTCATTTTATTTCTCATTAATGTACACTCAGCACCCCATCTTGACAGAAAAAAACAAATGTAGAAATTTTCGCAAATTTATTAAAAAAGAAAAACTGAAATATCACATGGTCATAAGTATTCAGAC